CCAAATATCATCTCCCTGGGCAGTTTGGTTATTGAGAAGAAGTTGTTAAATTTTTTTAACATATTTGACCCCTGTGACCTTGAAAATAGATGAAGGTCATTTATTTGAACAAACTTGGTAGCCCTTCATCCCAGTTTGCTTCTGGCCAAATATCATCACCCTAGGCCTTTCGGTTATTAAGAAGAAGTCGTTTACAGTAAAATATTGACGCCGGACGACGGACGAACGACGGACGGACAGACGGACGGAGGACGGACGGACGACGGACGGACAGACGGACGGGCGACGGACGCCGCACCACGGCACAAGCTCACTTGGCACTTCGTGCCAGGTGAGCTAAAAAGTATGGGGGATTTTCGTGTAAAAAAACCAGAGACACTGCGTCAATTACGACCACAGGGACCTGAGAATTTGTTACAGCTATATTTGGACCCACAGGGACTTGATATTTTGTTACAGCTATATTTGGACCCACAGGGACCTGATATTTTGTTACAGCTATATTTGGACCGAAACTAAGGTTTTCAGAGTAATTTTGCATGTTTGCGGGATTTAGATCGACTTTCGGTAAAAATGACACTCCAATAATTAGCATGTGATTTCGACATGGAGGTTTTTGTACTAAACAGAAAAAACTAGTTCATAGTCTAATAGGGCTGTTAGGTAGGTCAGCCTATGCATTTCTTTTAAATTTAATTACCGCATTGATAATCGGTATGGAGGTTACTGGTAACATTTTCTAAAATGTTATTGACCTATCACTATAAGTGTTTTATATTCATCATATTTAGTTTTACCATTAAATCAGGGTTACAGTCGCATTGTTACACTCCTTAATACCATTCTCAGTACCATTAAATCAGGGTTACAGTCGCATTGTTACACTGCTAAATACCATTCTCAGTACCATTAAATCAGGGTTACAGTCGCATTGTTACACTGTATACTATAGAAATGGAATTAATGGGATATTGATTTTGAAGAATTAAAAAGATCTTTTGACAATCTTTAACATGATCTCTTCAACCAAAACTTTTAGTTTTCCTTCTTTACACTATGAGAGCATTGTTTTCAAAGAAATGCGAATGGCGATAATAAATGGTTGCAATGAAGTTCTCGGGTATGAGAGAGAGAGAGAGAGAGATAGAGAGAGAGAGAGAGAGAGGTCTTTGATAAAATGGACAAATTCCAATTAGACCTATATAGTATAGTACTCTAAGTAGAAAAACTGTTAAATATTTGTAATCCATAAAAGTAGGTTCATAAACGTTGGTACTCACACACAACACTCATACGTGTATGAACTAACCGAGAAGAAAGAAGTAAAACGCAAAAAGAAAGAAGGAAGGAAAGAAACAGTGTGAATCTCCTTCCTTCCAAACAAACACACTTCTGCCTCCCCCTCCTTTACATCTTCCCTTCGTCTCACCCTTATTCCCAATCCTGATTTTTTTATTACCACAAATCGAAGTAAACTAAGAATATCAGTATTGATAAGGAAAAAAACTCGACTCGTATAGTAATATAGGTTTATACGTCTCTGGTATAGTAATATAAGTAAATATATGGTAAATAAACCGCGGTTCACATTCCATAATGTTAATTTGACTCCGGTTCAGTATCACCACGCACTACACTAGTTTTTTTTGGGTTTTTTTTGTAATTTTCTTTTTATTCAAGATTGTTTCGCAATATATGGTATAATTACAATCAAACATTACATATTATATATTCACACCTCACTCGACTGATATACTTGACGCCAGTACATGTAATGGTACACATGTACACATATATTGCCTTTATGAGAACAGAGAGAGAGAGAGAAAAGGGAAAAAAGAGAAGAATAAAAATACCAAAGAAAAAAGGAGAAATTCCAAGGAAAAAGGAAGAAAAGGAGAAACTGGTTTTTGCACTGCAGCTCAAGAATAAACAGAAATTTGTGTTTAGGATAAGATTATAAGACAATCTTCTGTATTAGTTGTAAGTAAGGTGCTTTCGGCTTTAACTTACCCTTGGGTTAGGTATACCACGGACTTAGATAACTAAACTAATTCCGTGGTTATACCACGGACTTGGCTAATTCCGTGGTTATACCAAGTTTCCTAAAACAAAGTGGCCGAGAAATGAGGGTAATACTCAGGACAAAATATATTTATATCATAATAGAGATAAACTATAATAAGTTCAGACAGATACTTCAACTGAAATTCACAAAAAAAGTGACAAAAATGTTGGGAATTCAGGCAAGATTTAATACAGGTATGGTAAAAGGGGCATAACTGCCAAAAAAACACACAGAACAAGAGAAAAAGCCCTTGTGAAAACTTAATGTGTGCTGGCTACCTGCAATTATTTTTCTTTGTATTCATTAATATATAGTTTGGTAAAGGTAAGGTGTTTACTCGGTAATCAGACTAGAGCAGGCCTAAAATCGTGAGAATAATGAAAATCGGTTTGAAATTTCATTCACAATATAAGGCGGCCAACCTGACAAAAAAATAGGCGGCAAGTGGTTGTGCCCGTTACATTTCCATTACTAGGACATTAACCCCAGACAGACTCTGCTGAAAAGGCCCTGCAATGTGTAGTAAACGAAATGAAGAATAGAAATATGACATATTTGTTTAAAGATAACGCTAATTTACCGAGTTTCAATTGAATACATGTGTACCACAACCCGGCACGTTGAGTGAATGGTGAAAAGCGCTCAAAAGACCATGAGTTGGATGTGTGCGTGCGCATTCCGTAGTGTACACAGGTCATCCAACTAAAACATCCGACTTCTGACAAGTTCTGTGGAAGAGTGTGTAACCAAGTCTGGTGCTGTGTATTACACGGGCGACATGGAAGGCTTTTCGGAGTGGTTTTGGGATGAGAATTTTTGGCTGACACCCGGTATAAAATGGGAGGATTTAAAGTCAAAAACACCCGGAGTTTACTATGGACAATTTTCAGATATTGGTCTACCCTCGATCTATATGGGTTTATTTATGACCGTCTTAAGATTCGCGTGTTTTAGGTAAGTTGCTCGTCCTGTAATACAGGTATACAAGATACATGATAACCCTTTATCTGCAGGTAAACATAAGCACGTTGGATGTTTATTAAGTTCGAATGTCGCGTCGTAAACGCAGCATTCTGCACATTAGATGTTGTAATCATGTGGACCAGTCGTAATATAACGGGATACCATTACCAAACGGGTAGCCTCTACCGGTACCAATGGGTCACGCCCAGCTAACCGTAAATTCCATACATCTGTCTTTGTTGGCTTCCGACAAGTCATCCCACATTTTTTTGTCGTGTGAGCCGCCGCCCCTTGCCACAATTACATTTACGTCAGAATGTTCTCAAAATAATGTGCCAGACAGTTTACTGGAAAAAAACTTATAATATGTACTGTACAGTAGAGACAACACTAAGATTTTAAATGTTGAAGCACAGAATTATATTATCAAATCATCAATAAAGGATTTTAAAGGTCGAATTAACCAATCATCTGATCAATATCTGCTCCAGTAACAATAATGTGATGTTAACTTTTGAATACCTGTGGACTGTTCTTTTGAATTGACATTATTAAGCAGTCCAAATTGTTTTTGTAAACAGATGTGCTTGTACTGCGTCAGAATTAGATTGCTATCTTAATCCGTGGTAATGCTGACGGTTTACATGATGTTATTTGACATAACATTGAAAGACATCTCTGTTACAAGTCTGTTTTGATAGTCAATTGTTAACAACGATTCATATCTTAATTGATAAATACAATAACTCTGAAGGCTCCTACCTGCAACTGAGCTACCTGGTCGCAGATGATCGACCCAAGCAGTTCCATTGTTCATATGTGGACTTGGAATTTATAAATGAGGAAATATGCAGGCAATGTACTTTAATTATGCATGTGTGTTCACGGAGGAATAAAATACACAGGAAACCTGCATTGAATTCCCCTTCTATAACTAAGAAACATTAGGGCATTATGTAGCTATATGTATAATAACTGTATATATTATATGTGGGAAACCATACCATTGATTCTGTTACCATTGATTCAAACTAACTTGTAATGTTAATGTCATCTTTGCAAAAGTGTTGGCACACAGCCATGTTTTCCAACTCATAACTATTTCATTCATAATAATCATGTTTTACGTCAACTTACATAACTCTCAAGGGAGTAAATAAATTGCTGTAACCAGTCATGGTAGAGGATCATATAGTTATATGTAATACCTTGTTACTGTATATCATTCATTTTATTATTATACAACATTTGTGTACATATGTATAGCACCCTATCTACACTGGTATCACCAATTTTCCTAATATACACCATACTTATACACTCGAGGGATGACCGATATATAGAAGTTCCTCAGTGATTGATGGTTGATAATCGTTCAAATATTGAAACAAGGTTAAAGGGGCATCACAGTGAAGTAACTTTTTTTTTGGTCTTATTTTCAAATACCACATAAACATATCAAGTGAGACTCCTTATGGAAAATAACGATCAGATTTGGCTGAAATAGATTCATGAAAATGATTAAATCTAAGATAATCATCGGTTTTTCTACCTGTCTGACCAACGTTTTGTTCAGGGATTTCCCTCTACTAGCGCATGCGCATAGCACACCATTTCTTTGTAAACAAAATGACTGGCCGTGTGTATGCGAAAGAAAAGTGTTGTTCTGTGTCAGCTACGAAACGAAAAGTTACCAAATGGTCAAAAGATAGTGCAAGGAGTATGTTACGGAATCATTATTGCAGGTGGGAAATATTCAAAGGAGAAAATAACTGCCCTAGCAGTTAGTACGGTGCATGTATTCTTACGGATAGCTGGTTAGGCTGAAATGGAATCGACATAAATGCTATCGCTGTTTATGTTATGAATAAATATCAAAAACTATTAACCTTTCTAGTATCTTTGTCTGAGTTTGAACACAGATGAACTTAGTTTAATATGTTAATGGGCATGTATCGGAGAGAGTTTACTTTGGTTTATGCGAAAGGAAGGGATAAGTGACTGGTTAGTTTGATTTTGCCATGAGGGCCTCCAAGGGATAAATGTTGTGATGGCCACGGCGCTCGCGCGATCGGGGTCAAATGAGATACTTGCGCTATTAGATTTACATAATTTATAATATTACCGGGTTCAGAAAAATACAGAAATGATTAAAGAAAAGTTGTCTCAACATAAAAAAGGGTCCATTTACAAGAATGCTTTAATCTATGTAAAGTATTGAAAAAATATAATGATCAAGTATCTCAACACGTTCCATATCTGACACATATTCTACATGTACACGTAGTGGTATTGCCATACAGTTTATTGTGTGTGATGGATAATATGACTTACAAAGTGTTAGCGTATGGAGACAGTGAAAGTGGGAAAGAGAGTATGCATAAATTTATACATGGCCAAAGACATTGAGTTGTACAATGTAATAAAAAAATCACAAAGGTGTTAAGCCCCGTACCAACTGTACCGGTCACATTCCGGTAATAAATTCAATATATATTTATATATATCTACTTTATGTTTATGCCGATTATCATTGTTGACATTTAATTGTAAATTCCTGAACAATTCAAGTGGTCAAACTGGACATTTGGAACGGACTATGAATATGGGGATAGCGAGGTAACATAAGTGGAAGTGCATACAATACATACATTCATTAAAAAAAATATCGCTCTTCACGTGATGTTCTTTTAACCAAGTATGATTTTTTTTACCTTGTCTGTGTAAGTTACCTTGTCTGTCTGGTTTACCTTGTCTGTGTAGGTTACCTTGTCTGTGTAGGTTACCTTGTCTGTGTAAGTTACCTTGTCTGTCTGGGTTACCTTGTCCGTCTGGGTTACCTTATCTGTCTGGTTTACCTTGTCTGTGTAGGTTACCTTGTCTGTGTAAGTTACCTTGTCTGTCTGGGTTACCTTGTCCGTCTGGGTTACCTTATCTGTCTGGTTTACCTTGTCTGTGTAGGTTACCTTGTCTGTGCAGGTTACCTTGTCTGTGTAGGTTACCTTGTCTGTCTGGTTTACCCTGTCTGTCTGGTTTACCTTGTCTGTCTGGTTTACCTTGTCTGTCTAGGATAACCTTGTCTGTCTAGGTTACCTTATCTGTGTAGGTTACCTTGTCTGTGTAGGTTACCTTGTCTTTGTAGGTTACCTTGTCTGTGCAGGTTACCCTGTCTGTCTGGTTTACCTTGTCTGTCTAGGTTACCTTGTCTGTTTGGTTTACCTTGTCTGTGTAGGTTACCTTGTCTGTCTGGTTTACCTTGTCTGTGCAGGTTACCTTGTCTGTGTAGGTTACCTTGTATGTGTAGGTTACCCTGTCTGTAGGTTACCTTGTCTGTCTGGGCTACCTTGTCTGTCTGTGATGCCATGTCTGTCTGTGTAGGTTACCTTGTCTGTCTGGGTTACCTTGTCTGTCTGGGTTACCTTGTCTGTCTGTGTTACCTTGTCTGTGTAGGTAACCTTGTCTGTGTAGATACCTTGTCTGTCTGGTTTACCTTGTCTATCTAGGTTACCTTGTCTGTGTAGGTTACCTTGTCTGTCTGGTTTACCTTGTCTGTCTGTGATAACTTGTCTGTTTGGTTTACCTTGTCTGTGTAGGTTACCTTGTATGTGTAGGTTACCCTGTCTGTAGGTTACCTTGTCTGTCTGGGCTACCTTGTCTGTCTGTGATGCCATGTCTGTCTGTGTAGGTTACCTTGTCTGTCTGGTTTACCATGTCTGTGCAGGTTACCTTGTCTGTGTAGGTTACCTTGTATGTGTAGGTTACCCTGTCTGTGTAGGTTACCTTGTCTGTCTGTGATGCCGTGTCTGTCTGTGTTACTTTGTCTGTGTAGGTTACCTTGTCTGTCTGGGTTACCTTGTCTGTCTGGGTTACCTTGTCTGTGTAGGTTACCTTGTCTGTGTAGATACCTTGTCTGTCTGGTTTACCTTGTCTATCTAGGTTACCTTGTCTGTGTAGGTTACCTTGTTTGTCTGTGTTACCTTGTCTGTACCCTGTCGGTTGGTTACCCTGTCTGTCTGGGATACAGTATCTGTCTGTGTTACCTTGTCTGTGTAGGTTACCTTGTCTGTCTGGTTTACCTTGTCTGTCTGTGATATCTTGTCTGTTTGGTTTACCTTGTCTGTGTAGGTTACCTTGTCTGTCTGGTTTACCATGTCTGTGCAGGTTACCTTGTCTGTGTAGGTTACCTTGTCTGTCTAGGTTACCTTGTATGTGTAGGTTACCCTGTCTGTGTAGGTTACCTTGTCGGTCTGTGATGCCGTGTCTGTCTGTGTTACTTTGTCTGTGTAGGTTACCTTGTCTGTCTGGTTTACTTACCTTGTCTGTCTGGTTTACCTTGTCTGTCTGTGATATCTTGTCTGTGTAGGTTACCTTGTCTGTCTAGGTTACATTGTATGTGTAGGTTACCCTGTCTGTGTAGGTTACCTTGTCGGTCAGTGATGCCGTGTCTGTCTGTGTTACTTTGTCTGTGTAGGTTACCTTGTCTGCCTGGGTTACCTTGTCTGTGTAGATAACCTTGTCTGTGTAGGTTACCTTGTCTGTCTGGTTTACTTACCTTGTCTGTCTGGTTTACCTTGTCTGTCTGTGATTTCTTGTCTGTGTAGGTTACCTTGTCTGCCTGGGTTACCTTGTCTGTGTAGATTACCTTGTCTGTGTAGGTTACCTTGTCTGTCTGGGGTACAGGTGTCTGTCTGGTTTACCTTATCTGTGTAGATTACCTTGTCTGTCTGGTTTACCTTGTCTGTGCAGGTTACCTTGTCTGTCTGGTTTACTTTGTCTGTGTAGGTTATCTTGTCTGTCTGGGTAACCCTGTATATCTTGGTAACCCTGTCTGTCCTGAGTTACCATATCTGTCTGGGATATACTGTATGTCCTTCAGGTGAACCTGTCAAACCTGTTACCCTATTTGTCTGGGTTACGATATCTTTCCAGTATTTTAGGTGAAACTGTCTAGAAACTGTTTGAAAAATACAGTTATATGTTTGTGCATTGAA